GATGATACTGGATGAAATTTTGTGTATTTGTTCATGTGTCGCTTGACCACATTCTGGACTGTCAGTGTAAAGTTAATTTTTTGGAGTTTTCATTACAACTCCAGATGTAAAAAGCTTAAGAAGAATGTGAACTAGTTTCCAAAATGGCTGTTCTTGGGCATATAGCTTTTAAGTAACTGTAATTGCCCTGTTTTGATATGATGCCTCTCAAATTAGTAGTCTCTGATTATTATGATTCAACAGATTTCTGTAAGAGTTTGGAGGGTATTTTTTTAACCTTTGTGAAGGATTATTTATTACCTGAGCTATCAGGACATGGGAAAAAAGCAGAGTGAATAAGCTATTTGTTAATCATCTCAATAGCATGGGGATTTAAACAAATGTTACATATGCTTGCCAGCAAATGGTCAGCTTCTGAAGCATGTGTTTAGCCAGTGAACTTCTGGGTCTCTGGTGATATTCTTTCATGTGCTTGCTGAGGACAGGACTATGCCAGCATTTCTTCTGAAGATGTTAACTTAAAAGCAGCATGACACCCAAGAGAAGTTGTCAACACTGCAATTGCAACTATTCTTCATTATTCTAGTGACATAAAGAAAATAACTTATTTCATGAGAAGAAACGAGAGTGTTAGAGCATATCAATCTGCATCACATCACGGCCTTGTTCCCGTGGTCCATGAATTTCACAGAAAGTGATGCTCAGCTGCATCCTGGCTTTGAAGAGAACACTTTGTGCTTCTGGTTTTGCATCCTGTTATGAAACAAACAACAAGTTTTGAATAGGGGGAGGCAACCAAGGTTGGCCTTGTTGCTTTACTTCTTATAATGCAATTAGAATGCCATATCTCAGTGTGCCAGGGAAGGACTGGAGAGTTGGCTTTGGAAACACTCTGCTTCACTGTTATCTGTGAGGAATAGTAACTTCAGCGCCAGCAGGAGAGCAATGCAGTGATCTGAAGCAACTTCTGTTATTTATTTTCTGATGTAGCCTCCCCTGTCATTGCAGCCTTCCCCCAACAAGGTACAATCTTCCATAGCCAACAGCACAAGCTGAAGCCCCATGAAAATTTCAGCTGAGTCTTTGGAAGCTTGTGTAACACCCTGGGCCCCACCTCACATGTGTCCTCTCGCAGTTTTGTTGCTGTAGTGCCAGACTGGTTTGATGTGAGCTGCTCTTGGCAGGTTACCACAGTGCAGTCACTCACTGCTGTTGCAGGGCAGACATGTCGTGGTTGGACAGCATGGAAAGGAATCCAAAGTGATGTTGAAATCCAGCAGTGTCTGTGTCAATACCTGTGTGCTCCTTGACCTCAAACAGTATATAGCTAGGAAATGACTCTACAAAACTCTTTCAAAGATTCATGTGAATAGCAGGGTAGAGACTCTTTCCACAGAGAAAAATGATTTTTTTTCAGGTTTTATGTTAAAAATGCTTGAAAAATGCTGAAAGTGTTTGATGCCAAAGAGTAGTTACAGCAACTGTAACTGTGGTAAAGACTGGAAAGCAGGACCATGTCTATCACCAAAATGAAAAATGAAACTAGAAACTGTTATTCATGACTGGTATTTTGAATCATTCTGAATCCTGGATTTCCCATTCCTTTCTGAAGACTCTTTAGAATAGAGTAGGAGTAAAATTTATGCATTTCTTTAAAAAGGACTCTTGAAAACCTACACATATCCTGGAGAATGGCAAGTTGAACCTCATTTCTCCTCGTAGGTTTTGTATGTTTTTTTGAAAATAGTCTAAGTGGAATATTATTAGTATCAACTTTACAGGATAGCTGAAGAGCAATGAACTAATAGGGTGATATTTCCTACTGTGTTGTGTAAAGATTCTCCCATAAGCTTCTTTTTTTCTGATGTTTACCCCACTAAAAGTAAATAGCATACCTGGAGGGCAGTGCTGAGATGACATGTGCTTGGGCTGCTGGCTACACCAAACACAGCTGTTGGTGTTTGCAGACAACTTGGCCACACACCTCTGTTCAGCATGGAGTCTGGAGGTGATGAGAAACTGCTGAGATCCCTGCTGAGGAACAGAAGAAAGAAGCATCTTCTGCTTCGCAGCTTTTATCTAAAAACAAGTTAATCAGTATGCTAAACACTGATAGCAAAGTACAGTCACTTAGACTGATGTTCTGAGGAGGTCTGGAAGGCACCATTTGTCCACAGCAAAACTTTGTCAAGGAAAAAATTATCTTTTGAAGGGATGAAAGGAGTAAGAAGCTAAAAATATATCTTTGCCTGAGGGGTAAGAGATACAAAATACCGATGGCTGCAGAAAAGCACATCCCCACTGACTCTTCCCAGTATCTCTACCACAGTTAGCAAAGCAAGCAGACAAGAATGGCTAGAGAAATTGTTCTTGAAATGGTCACTGGAATTATCCTCTTTTGGAACAAAATGAAATGAATCTACCAGTCTTACCAATTTTTATTTTTTTTTTTATAATGCTTCTTGACCTGGATGGCTTAATAAACCTACACACTTATGCAGTAGCTCTCATTTGGGGTAAAAGTGGTATCGAATACTTTGCAGGGACTGTGTTTGCAACATGTTAGTGCTGTGCCTAAAATGCCAAAGTGATAGAGCAGTCAAAGCTGTTGTTTGGCCAGTATGGATGATTTCCATCATTACAGACCAATTCTTTCCTTCTCTGTCGTAATCTGTTATCTCATAAGAATAAATTAATGCACATTTTAACCTTAACCTAACTAAATAATTAATAACTAATTGTTCTCAAAATTGTCCATTTAGGCTGCACATGTAATACTTTCTGATTTATGATTGATCCTTTTTTTATTCTCGCTTTTGTTCCTGATGACTATTACCAATCCATTTTCTTTAATTCTTATTGAGCTTGAGTTGATATGAACAAATTTTGAAAAACAGTGATTGAGAGACCTCTTTACTGAGAGGCAATAGCTATTATAGATTCTATTGATTAACAGGTATAATTAAGGTTGGTTTTAATTTTTCTGCACTGCCTTGCACTCATCCACACCAAATTTCTCCTGTTATTGTCATGTCAAAAACAGTTTTTTACAGCTCTTCTTAGTTATTTTCCATTTTGTTCATGCTGAATTCTGTGCCTTCTTGCCCTTCTCTGCATCCTTTAGGAGTAGGTTGAATAGTACTGGTCCCAGCTGTTTGGGACCAACTTCTGCTGCAACTTGTGGTGCAAAATGACCATTTAATATCTACTTTTTGCTTGCTCACTTTTAAAGGAAAGGATCTTTTGTCTTTTTACATGACAGCTGAGAGTCCTGAGAAATCTTTTCTAGTACCTTGTGTAAAGTTCTTAGTTTGATTTCTATTTACAAGAGTCAGCTCGTACTCCCTTCTATCGTTGTTATCTGTCCACACCATTCTGTGTTCTCTTACAGAGTCAAATCCCTTGCTCAGCATGGAAGAAAAATTTGCTAATCTGTAGCTGTTCACTTTATCCTCTACCTTTTTAAAAGCCAACCAGCAATACCACTTTAATCCTTGGTGAGATGTCTCTCCATCATGCTTCCTCTCCTGAAGAGAAGTGACTTTCAGGATAGGTAAGCAAGGGCAGGACAGAAATAGTTAAATATCAAGCAGTTTATCTGATCCTATGGGAAGATGATCTCTGGGGTTTCCTTTTCATGTGGGATCCAGTGTGTTCAGTTGAGCTCCACATACTTAAAGCCAACCTAAATGCATTAGTGATGGTAGTGTCTCCTGAGGAGACTATGCTCTTAGTTTACTACTATGTTCATTAGTTTGAGACTGCTTATTCATACTTAGAGTTACATCTATGTCCATTTATATCATCAGCTGAGGAAGTGTGAATGAGAGTAATTAGAAAAAGAGAAGTGACTGTCAGAAGTTCATACTTGAGGTTCCCTTAAGTGGGACAAGAAGCTGTCATTGCTTTTAGCTTCTGCTCCTGAGGTAAACCTTGTGATTATGAGTTGTGTAGAAAATGACTTAATTTGCGGGAGAAAACTCTCCAACCATCCTTTTTCACGTGCCAGCATTACAGGGCTACTTTTCACATAGAAACTTAAATTGTGACCTGATGGGTTTTTTTAAGGTGGGAAGCTGATTTAAGTTCTTTGTCTTGTCAGCTCTGCATTTCCCTCCCTGCCTCCCCCCACAGCAAACTGCCTCCTCAGTCAGTCCTGCACGCATTTGTTATGGGCATGTTAAGCAAAAGTTGAAGTTATTGTCTTGTGTAGGTGCTCATCATTTACTTATTCTTCCTCAGGAGAAAGAGGTTCCTTTTGCAACTTCCTGACACTCATTCCTTATTAACAAGTTTTCTACATAGAAAAATCATGGAAGAGATTATGAGATCTGAGAAAACAAATACTCTGCATGGGTTCCTGCTTTGCAAATCAGACTTAATGGAGATATTTTTAGCATAGACCCAGCACTGCACTACCACAGTGTTGGGAAACATGGATAGGAACCCAGGTTTCGTTTCTACAGAAAGTTATTTCGGTGTTAAAGCCTTTAGTGTGCTGCTGCTTCTGTTCATTCCTTTAAGATCCTCTAAGCAACTAAAAATTACAAAATAAGTCTCCTTAAACCTGAAACATGTTTTAAAAATCCACTGAAACAAGCAGTATCCTTATTAGAAATTTCAGTCTTTAGGATATAAAATGGAAGTCAGTGGATACTAACACTGCCTCCATCTAAAGGTGGTTTTGTGGGTTCATACTCTACCTGTTGTCTATTGCATTACCTAAAAAATGATTTGCTTTGCACTTGATTGCAGCAGTTTGACATCAGACTGTGTTCTCACTTCCATGTTTGTGTTTCAGGTAAAGATGGAATATGGAAGCAGTCAAGTTTTGCAGTATGTTTGTGTCATAGTGTCAAAATAGGAGAGGAATGTTCCTCCCCAGCTGTTGTATCACAAAAACTGTGCATCTGGCTGATCTGCTACATATTTTGAAAGCCCTTGAGTCCCCACCTATGGGGTGCACAGCTCACCCTTCCTTCACAGCTCCCTGGAACACCCACTGTGTTAATCCATTTTCTTGACCAGGGCATTCACACACTCTTGGATCTGGGCCAGATGCTGATGGGTGAGTCACCACATCAACAGATCCTGCTCTTCAACCAGCAGCTGCTCAGGAGTGAAGGAGGGAATAAAAGAGCCCACAGCATAAAAGCACAGAAAGGGAAGACTTTAAGAAAGGGAAGACTTGAACCAGTAGTATCAGGAAAGTATCCTGGAGATTTGTTAAATGGCTGAGTAGTCTCCCTAGTGAGCTGGTGAAGGATCTATTTGATCTATGTCTTAGATTGGTTAAAAATGCAATGGCAGGCTCATAGATGCTATGACCAGATAGATCTTGTTTCTCTTTTTTCCTTGGCCACCAGCTTCTAAAAGGAACAGCGTTTGCAAATGTTAGGCTTTTCCTCCTCATCAAACCAGATGTTTGTTTGATACCTCCCTCTAACTGAATAAGATTCTTGCATGCTGAAAAATAGTGCAGAACTCACTGAAGATCTTAAAGTATATTATTTGGTTGGACACTTTAAAGAAGTTCTTCTGTGATGAAATTATTATAGAACGCTTATCAGAGCCTAGAGGAATGCAGCTGAGGGGGTTTAGTTTGCCCTATTACTGTGGCTATGCCATCTGTATGACATAGAACCACTTTAGTGGTGAATACTTGCTCTCAGCAAGAAAAGAGTACAGAGAAATCCTGATTATAAGACCACCACAATCTAATCTGTCTCCTTTCCCTAAGTTTGTGGTTAAAATCTGTTGGCATGTGGCCCACAATATATTGCCTCTCTTACAGCAGAGCAAAACTATGCAGAAGTATTTCCTTTAACAATCAAAGCTTCAGTACAAAAGTAGTGACCCAAATTAACTGTTTGGAAGAAAAAGGTTAAAGGTGTTTTAAAAAAGCATTCCTGACCAAACTGAAATAAATCAGCAAACTTCACCCACACATCCTCCAAACCTGCAATCAGCAATAATTTCATAGAAATAAAACAAATGGATTGCCACATTCCTTCATGTCTATTACACTTCTGTCTTCATTGCAGAAATTACTCAGAAATGAAAAGTTGGAAGGAAACTTGGCTGTTGGTAATAGTTTTATCACTTGTACTACAGCAAACATGCTCTCTACAGAAATTTCTAGGATGCACTGTTTCTGATTCTACTAAGTATTTCAAAATTCTTCATATAAAAGCTCTAAAGCATTTTCTGTACATAACAGTAATGAACTAGTCCTTTGGATAAGTGCATTAGAACTACAATTCAGTTATGCCTAACAAATTTTAGCCCCCATTCAAGAAAGGAGCCTGTTGTTTAATAGAAGCACCTTAACATGCATGTAAGCTGTGTTTTTTATAAGGTTAAGGTGCTCTCTGGAATTGGGGCTTACCTTTAAAATAAACTATTGAACGGAGTACACCAATGTTTTTATTTTCAAAGCAAATAAAAACATTTATTAATTTGGGAAAGACATTGAGACATGTTCTTCTCACTCATAAAAAGCACAAACTTTATTATACCAGTCCAAAACACAGACAATGGCAATGTAAATATACAATGTAAATATAAATATAGAAATGTAACATTTCAGCTTGACATTGTAGAGACAGTTTGACACTCAGGCATCTTTGTGCTCCATGCCAGTGCTACCTTCCTGTAAATAATTTCTCTGAGCAACAAATTATTAACTTTGTCTTTTGGCTCTTAGTGCAGAAAGAATGGCTGACAATGACCAATAGGATAATGTGGCAATTCCCAATAGAAGCAGAACCAAGGAAAAGTCAGTTATTCAGTGCTGATTTTGTGATACCTCTTTTGTGCTCTGGAAATAGGAAGATGGTAGAAGAGGGAAGTAGACTCTGTCCCCTTTTCCCCACTTCTGCTGGTACTGTGCATCCCTCTTCTTACCAAAGGCTCAGGGTGGGATAAGGTGCTGCTGTTGGCAGGAAGGGAGAGTGATAATCTGCAATTCATGTCCCTAAAGAGAGCATGAGGGAAGGAAAGCTGAGCAGGCCAATATCTCGGGGACACTACCAGGAAAAGGCCCCAGGGGAAGGTAAGGTGAGAGTGGCTGGGAGTAGAGACATTTCTCACAGAACTGAAACCTTGCTCTGTCTTTGACACCTATCAGCATTTCTCTGTATGGTTTATTAGCATTGAGATTCTTAGTAATAACATGATCTTTTCTTCTGTGAAAATCATAGATGCATCAAATGGCATCTACATGAAAGCATTCACTTTCCTAAATTGAAACCTTATATATGTTGCAGTAAGGAAAGAATTTGATTATTGCTGATTTTACTACTTTAGTATCTGGGTTCTCCAGAAAGAAGTTTAAATCTCAATTGCATTTCAATTTGATATAAAGGAATAACTTGTGAGAAAAAGTTATAATTTCAAAAGTTGCTATAAGGAGTTCTCAGAACTGAAGCTACTTTGCTTTTGATCAAACATATCCCTGGTATAAATTGCTTCAATATATACTGACAAGTATTGCCCAGTATGTCAGCCATACTTGGAATATTGAGGAATGTGGTAATGTGGTGTTATTTGACACTGTGACCTTTGCTCAGTCATAAATGCACATGGCACAATGGATATCATATTTTACACAACACAATTAAAACTGTTTTAATTCTTTAAAAACTTAACAGTAAATGAAATGTGGTTTCCCTCTCTCTCCCTCACCTCCCCACCACATACAATACAGAACAGAGGGCTTAAAATCTCCAGCTGTTTATGTTCTGAAAAAGGCACATCAGACAGAAGACAGCAGGGTTTTGGCATTTCCCTTTTATTAATATACCTTTTATGGTCAGGAACAGCAGCTGTAACTGAAAAAAACCCATGTGAAAGAGAAATGATAAAGAGAGGGATAGATGGCAACACTAAAGAGACAGAGGTGGAACAACTGAAGGAAGCACATACACCCAAACAGCATCCCTTTAGGTATTCTCCACTTTCACCAGTCTTTTTCTTAGAGTCTTCCCTGCATTTCCCCAAGATTTCATCAGTATTGTTGACACAAAGCCAACTAAGTGTAAACCACCCTTGCCCCCCAAAAATAAAAGCAAAATTCACAACAGGTGCAGTGACACAAAGGCACCATTCTTGATAAAAGGCAGTACCTGAAGCTTTGGCTATAAAATATAAACATAACCAAAATAATTCTGGAATACAGTTGTGAAATGAGGTGATACTCAAGCTCATAAAAGTCCTGTAAGATTCATATCCTTTAGATAATTTTTATCTCTCTGTGTAGAAAGAACAGAGTCAGTGTGAGTGTGCTCTGCTTTTAGTGCTTACTTTACACAGGCAGTCAATGTCAATGCAGCACCAAGGATGAGAAGTGCTGTAATATCTTAATTAATTAATGAATGCTGTAAATATCTGGTGTTGCAACAGAGGTCACATCTAGCCATGATGGAAACAAAAATCCAGTAAATATGCTGTTTCGTATGTATAATGTAGAATAAATTTGTCTGTCTTACTTCACTATTGCAACTCTGACTCCCAGCATTCTTGAGCCAAATTGTCCATGTTTTGCACTGTGACAATTAATTGTTCCAAGTCAAACCAAACCTGTGTTGGAACCCTTTATATCTTTATTAAGCCATTGAAAACTTCTGTCCAAAGATTTTCACTTCCTTCTGCCTTCTGTGGCTGCCTTATAGGTGAAAATACCAAAGCACAACAGGGGTTATTAGCTGTAGTCTTTCACACAGGTAAGACCTAGGTACTCATGCTACTGGAAACTGATTTTCTGGGCTAGAATTTCAGTGACTTTTCAGGTGTTGTAGTCAGCTGTAGTTAACAAAGTCATTCGAGATTCATCTATCCTTTATTTTTATGATGCAGCAGCAGTGCTTAGGTTCTTGCAAATCAGTGCATTGCTGTTGCTGGTTCACTGCTATCACCAATCTGCCTGTTACTACACAGAGAGAAATCAAATCTTGAGTATCTGTTTTCTTCAGTGCCATGTGACTTATCAGATCCACACTATATCAGCTGTATTTACCTACAAAGATACATGCAAAACATGTCCTTACCTTCTCAGGGACTGATGCTTTTGGTAGGCTGAATTTCTTGATGCTTAGAACAGGTGGGAGTCTTCTATTGAACAGTCATTTCATCTTCTCCTTTCCTTCATAATACTTAGTTCTGCACAGCTCTGCCCATCCACAAATCTCAAAGGAGAGCAGTTTTTGCCTTTTCCTAGTTGTTTCTTCCTTCTTGGGTTGTCTCACTTCCCTGAGACTCCAAACTCTTTTCTTATCTGACCTTCTTCTTAACTCAAAAGTATGAAAGAAAAAAAACACTCAAGTCTCTACAGCTGTCAGTTTTGCCACATTATGGGCTTTAAAAACCCTCCAAACTTACCCATTGGCATTACCTTCCTCTTGTGAGGCTGACTTCTGCTGGTGGTAGGAAAAGGTTGAAATTATAGCAATAGTTTATGACCAGTACCTTTAGCCTATGATGTTTATTCCTTTCAATAAGAGAAGTTGACTTATTACAGACATAGATAAGGATTTTGATTCCATTAAATGTGCTTTTCGTGAGTACCGTGGAGAACGTAAAAATGGAGACCTTTCAAACTTCAAAATATAACAATTTTTTCCATGTGTCCTTTGGATGAGATGTAATGTGAAGACATTACAGGGTGTTCAAAATATACACGGTAGTCATTATATCTCCTGATCTTACTGTGCAGTGTTGATGTGCAGCAGTCCACGATAGCTCTGCTTCTGCCCTAGTTGGTTTCCTTCATTTCTGAATGGGATGAATTTTAATGTATGACCCAAGTCTGGAAGTCTTAAAGCAGCTGACTTTAGACCAGTGATTGGTATTTCTGTTGGCTAATTTAAAACTAATTCAAATCCAGCCACAGTGCATTGTAGATATCTTGCAGCCATCAAGCTATTAGGTCCTATCAATGTCAAAACAATTATGCAACTACAGTCTGGAAGAAACTTGCTGTCCTGGGATTGTCCCCTAAAGTACTTGTTTGGAGGTTGCTTAAGGAGATGTGGTGCTGTCTCACTGTTAATTTTTTCAACATACCATCAT